AATTAGGTCAAGTGCGGTCATATTTTTAAACTTGGGAAGCTGAAAAACAACGTTTTTTTTCCTGGAATAAAAACATTTTGATTGGCTCCAAAGATTAAAAACCAAACTTTCAAAACAATAGATGAACGCTGACAAAGACTTGCAAACACGTAGCAAATGCAGCACTCAGGGTTGTTTATGATGATGCAGATGATGATAAACATTCGGAAGATCACTGATGCTTTCTTATCAAGGTCAAGCTAAACGCCTCCTCCAAAAAACAACTAGTCCTTCACCTTCGCTTTCGTTTGTAAACATTTCATCAAAATCGAACCAGGTTAGTTTAGGGATGTGCGAGAAAGATTTTTAATTGAATTTTTCAATAATTTTCTTAGACCCTAGGCCGCTAGAGAAACATAAATCAATTTTAAAAATCAGGTTTCATTATGTTCACGCATTTTTATGTTATTATGGCAGCACAAATTATGTGACTTCTAAAAACCATTTGTAGGCCAACTTGTGCAGATTCAGTTTAACCACGATTTGCTGGATGCGTTTGCGCGTATCAGTATGCCAGAGCAAATGTTTGTACAGATGTGTGTTAGCGTTCCTGTGTACGAGAAAGCAAGTGTTTTTCCACACATGTGTGTGTGTGTGTGTGTGTTTGTATGTGTGTGTTTGTGTGTGTGTGTGTATGAGTTTATAAAAAAACTATAAAAAAATTAATCCAAGAAATCTATTCATCAAACTGTTTGCAATAACAAGAAATTTGTAACGGGATAAACATACTTTCGTGGTATCAAATGCAACATACAGCTGCTGCTGTGTTGTCCGCCATCGATGCTGATGGTCATAATGCTTGGAAGAACATTAATGATCTAAATTATAACTATTCTCAATATTACGCTAATGTTTTTAATGTTCAACATGAGGATAAAGTTTAAAATGATAATAAATTTAGTAATTTTCAAAGTGATAACCTCCAAAAACTAACAAACGACAAGCAAGATGCCGAATCATTTTCAACGTTATTTCACATCTCGATAGCTTCCACTATTAGTTTTCATTATCATGATGAGAAATAAGTGAAATGGACCTACAGTTTTAGGGGGTATTCGACACTTTTTGGCCCTACACTCTTCAACATTAACCACCCGTCTCCGGAACTTTACATAATATTTGTATTTTCACTTCATCTAAATTAACAAGGATAAGCTGATGTGGGCCGATGATAAAAATTGGTACAACAACATCCTAGTCTCATTCATTCTCTTTTGGAAGTTGAATTTAATATTAATTAATATCTCTAAATGTCCAGTGACCTGTATGTTAAGCAGTTATTTGTGTCATTATTGGATGCTCTTATTCTAATTCTCAAATAAATTAATAAATTAATAAATAAATTAATTAATTAATTACTAATTTTTAAAATTTATTGAGATTTCTTATATTCAGTAAATATTAATTGATTGAGAGTTGAGAGTTGTTTTAAGATGGGATATTTTGCTTGGTGATGCATTGATCGCTTTTGCTAAACTTTGAGCATTTAAACTAAATATCCAAATAACAAAATCGGAACAAATTAATAAGTTTATTCAACTAGTAGAAAATAAAAGTTAATGTTACGTACGTATAAATATCTAATGACGATCGTTAAAAACTGTTTTCAAATGAAATAGACATTCGATAGATGAGTGGATGATTTGTTTGATGATAACGTTATTGAAAATGAACAGAAATCGCACCGCTCTGGTGAGTTTGATTGAAAATAAAGAAGACCATCAAACATTCAACAAACAACAATACATTCAAAAATATAATTCACATTTTTTTTTACATTAGGATCGTAATTTTAATTCAGTTCACGGTACAAATTCCCACAAAAATTATGGATTTGCCTCGGGTGTTTTTAGTCTGTTAGACGCACACACTCCAACCATCTCCATACTTTTTTCCTATTTTGTCAGGGCCCAAAAATATGGCAAAATTGTGAAAATATGAAAAAAATGTAGCCAAATTTAAAAAAGTCATTTATTATTAAAAAATAATAATTAATTAAAGTATTTAAAGACAACCACTCTGTTACTCTATCTCTTATTGTACAGAAAATTCGTCTTAGTATAACATGATTCGAAAAAAGTTTTGCTTTTTGTAATATGTCTAGATGCAGTTTAAATTCTTCTCTTTTTACCCAGACTGAATCTCCTACAAAACTGAAACCTCCAAAATTGAAGCGAGATTTAATATAGATAAAAATTTTAAAATAATAATAATAATAATAATATGTTGTTCGTTTGAGAATGAGCGTTGAGATGTGTGTACTACTTTGTGTCGGTTGTCATTTTAAATTCATTGAGAAGAAATTTATTTTTATATGATAAACCGTAATAAATTTTATTAAAATCACAGCAGGTATAACCCATTGAGTAACTGATTGATCAAAAAGGTGAATAAATGAATGAACGAACGAACGAGTGAGCTAACGAACGCATGAATGAATGAATGAAATGATTTAACAAAAACGCATTAAGATTTTAGATAAAATACTAGCAATTATAACAACATTAACATTAATAATAATAATAATATAAACAACAACAACAATAATAATAATAACAGTTAGTAGAATCATCAATAAAAGCAAATTAATATTGGGTTTGATGGTTCAATTTAGCACCTGATAAGACTTGAAATGTCAAGGTAGGCTGAGTGCCATCGTCATTCTCATCATCACCATCATCATCATCATCGTCGTCATCATCACCATCAGCATCTCCATCATCGTCATCATCATCATCATCATTATTTTTATCTTTTTCTTCATCGTTACCGTCATCATAATTTAGTTGAAAAAAATACATCAGTGATGATCTGAATTCAACTAAACAAGTTTCCCTTCATTTAAACTAAGTTGTTATTGCATGAAGATATATTTATACATATAGAAATGTATGTCTGAGTGCAGTTGTTTGTTTGTTTGTGTGTGTGTGTGTGTGTGTGTGCCGTGTGTGTGTGTGGAAAGAGAGAATGGGTGTAAAATTGAATGGCTAAATTTAAATAGAACCTTTGCGCTATTATGATAAGCACATTAAAAAAAGTTCTTATAAGCTGGTCATCACATCAACTGATATATCAATTTATTGGTCTTCATTATCATTATATATATATATGTGTCGGTCATCGTCCCAAATCAACACATCAACAAAAAATGACGTCAACAATAATAACATACAAAAATAAGTTATTTATATAAAAATATCATATCAAATGAACCGTATATACATTGGGTATGTGTCCATTAAAAATTATTACTTTAATGCCAATATCGTTATAATATTATTATTATTAATTGTATTATTAGCAGTAGTAGTAGTAGTTGTAGTAGTAGTAGTAGCAGTAGTAGGAGCAGTAGTAATAGTAGTAGTAGTAGCAGCAGCAGCAAAAGAAGCAGCGGCAGTAGCAGTAGTATTAGTAGTAGTAATATTATGATAATAATATTATTATTATGCAATATTTTTAAAGCTGAAACAATGGCGCTCCTATAGATGTCGTTGATAAAAAAGACGATGATGATGATAGCATGATGAGTGATGGTGAAGAAGAAGATGATAATAATTACATTAAAAATAATAATAATAATGATGAAATATGTTGATGATGATGGTGGTGATGGCCAAATATCATTACTTTAATGTAGTTTTGAGCAAAAAATATTAAAGTAGAATGAATTTTTTAGTTAAACATCATAAATAAAAAATAATATTATTGATCGTTTATGTGCTGGGATAATAATAATAGATGAAAAAAAATGATGACGTTGGTGATGATGATGATGGTGATGATGATGGTGATGATGACGATGGTGATGATGATGATGGTGATGATGATGATGGTGATGATGACGATGGTGATGATGATGATGGTGATGATGATGATGGTGTAAATGGCTTCTTCCCACACGGAACGTGATCACTTCACCTTTACAGATTCTCCTACTAACTTTTCTGACCGAACAGATAAATTAAATTCAGCGACTGACCAACGATGGCCATGATGAACATGATGACGATGATGATGACGACGACGATGATGATGATGATGATTGCTGCGAAAAGGATATAATGATTGTGATGAAGATGACGACGATGACGATCGCTGCCAAAATGATATAATGATGGTAGTGAAGGTGACAAAGAAGGTGATAATGGTGAGTTCATAAAAAATGCAGGTCATATTTTCGGATCGTCATCATCGACATCTTCTTCTTCCTCTTTATCATTTTTTCTTTTTCATTTTCATACACACATACATCCTGTTAATTGTGTCTGAACGGAATACTATGTAATATGATTATACAGAGTCTTTTTTATCACCATAACTGAATTTTCAAATTTAAATCTGTCTTTGACGAACATCAACGTATTCAATATTGATGTTATTATTATTATTATTATTACTATTATTATAATTATTATTGTTATTAATGTTGTTGTCAAGAAAATAATTTATCCACGCTAATTACGTGAAGAATAACAACAACAACAACAAAAACAACATTACCTTCAATATTAATAATAATAATAATAATTATTATTATTAATTATCAATATTATTATTATTATAATTGTTGTTGTTGTTATTTCCATTACATATAAGTAATAATACTAACAATGACGACATTAATGAAATACTAATATTAATAAATAGACTATATATATATATTCTAACAGCAAAAACGCGAACGATTACATTAATAATACTAATAATATAATAATAATAACAACAATAATAATAATAATAAATAAATAATAACAAATAATAATAAACAAGTAAAAATATTTGTCATCCACAATTATATTAATGAACCAAAAATATTTCCGCATTATCGCCGTTGGTTTTTGTTCTTTAAAAAGTGAATTAAGAAAGAAGAAAATAATTTTTTATTTTTCGGACGGTGGATTTGTATCATGAGTGGATAAAGTATCGTGAATGGATAGAGTATCGTGAATGGATACAGTATATCAAGTATCGTACAACATTTCGATTGAGTTGTTGTTTGTTGTTGACGATGGTGACGCCATTGTTGTTGTCATTGTGCTGCTGTTGTTGTTCACATTTTGTGAATGTTGTTTTTAGACGTTGTTTAAACTGGTGTAGATACTTGGCTAATGCCCTAATGTTGATGTCACAATGTTGTTGCAATAGTTGTTGCGGCTGTTCTGCACTCCCAAACAGTTTGATGTCACTTGATGCGTTCGTTCGTCTTATGCCTGTTGATTTTATTTATTTACTATAATTGTGTGCTGTTGATGTTTTTGCAAGGTTTGCACTTGTTGTTAATTTGAATGATGACGATTATAAAGACATTGTCTGCACATACGTGCGTTTCGACAGAAACATTCTTTCTTAGAAGAAGCATGTTTACTGAGACAGTCGCTGTAATGGTGGCCGTGGTTGCCGCGACATCTGCCGCCGATGTATCTGTAGCGGGCTGCCGTCAAATGAAATATACCTTTCGAATATATGGCTGACACAAGTTGCATCGGAGAGTCTTTTTCACTGATTTTTTCGCGTGGATTTTTCAAGCTATGGAGTTTTTGGCTGAACGTTGCTGAATGTAATGGCGATGTGACTTGTTTGTTGTTGATATATTTGTATAAAAAATATATATGTATTAAATGGATAATTTATAAATAGAAAAATCTCATAGTTTTGTTGCGCTGTTATTATGCTTTGAAAATGCCGATGAAGTCGATGATGTTGTTGTTGTTGATGCTGTTGTTGTTGTTTGTTTGTTGTTGTGGTGGTTGCGTTCGACCTCAACCACACAAACGTTGCTGTTTAGAAACATGTTGCAGCTGTTGTTGCTGGGACTGCTGTCGCTGAAGCAAGTTGTGTTGATGTTGTTGTTGGCGCTGTCGGTAGTCCTGTTGTCATCTGTGTTTCTGTATTTAGATGTTAATTGATCTGATTGGAAACTTTCTGACATTGTCGCGCAGGTTGTCGACCTTGTCGCAAATGTGGCTGCTTTCGTTGAAGTCTGTGCAAAGTTGGCAGATTTTGTTGATGTTGATGTTGGTAGTGTTGAGTAGTAGGGAGGTGGCGGGAGTACGTGTGAAATAACTGATATGGAATCAAAGAGGGATTTTTGTGATGATGTGGCCGATGTTGTGGTTGCTGTGGCTGCTTCTGCTGACTTTAATGTCGCTGTCGTCAATGTCGTCGGTAGGTTTATTGAAAGTGTTGAGGTGTTGAGATTATTCAGTGAATTGTTTCTAATATCATCTATCTTGCTGTTGTTGAAAATGTTGTTGCAGTTGTAGTTGCGGCTTCCGTTGCTGCTGTTGTCGCTCTCCTTGTTGCTGCCGGCTGACATAACAGCCAGTTGCAACAATTTGCTCGATCTGATCAGGTTCATCGCAAAACAAATAAAAACAAATGTTGAATAAGTTAACCAAATAGTCAATCGGTAACAAAGAGTTGTAACAAAGTGTACCTATTCTACATATCTCCCACTACTAACACGGCAACTCAGAACGTTACATACATTTCACGATTACACACGATGAGCTAAAACGGTTTTTTGAAACGAAACTTCTAATTTAAAGCAACAAAACTGCACAAGATTAAACAAAAGTAGTCAGGTCTCTGGGTGCGATTCATTCACGCATTCCATTCATTATTTAAAATTGTTTAAAATTTTAATGTTTCAGCAAAAACTAAGCCGGCAATCAGTACCAACCACACCACACGACTCACTCGTTTAATTTAGAACCAGCAACTTCTTCTTCATCCTCCTCTTCTTGTTTCTCTGGCGTCACAGGAAGTTCGAGTCGCGACTTCCCACTACGAATGCTTTGGTAGAGTCGCTTCTCCGTGTCGAACTTGTCGTCGTGGTGATGTTGTTGAGCTAATTTGATGTTGCGGTAGAGCGGTTTCTTGAGCAGGCCAGTGTTGTTCGGCTGCTGCTGGGGTTGATGCTGTGGTTGATGAGGTTGGTGCAGTTTGGTCACGTGAGACAAGATGGCAGCTACCGACGATCGACGTGTGCTTCCCTCGAGGGTGTTGTGGTGTGGGTAGTAGGAGCGGTGGTGGCGATGGGAGGAGGAGGAATAGGAGGAGGAGGTGGTGTGCATTGTCGTTGCATCTCGGTCGATGATTTCTCGGTCCTACAATGGAATTGGCCATTATTATGGGAGTGATAACGCAGTTGACTTTGGTACCATGATGATGGAAAAGGAAACACGTTGAAACGATTATAATGCTGTTTTGCTGATACAAGTTTCATAATTCGAATCATGTCTGCTAGTTTTGATGTTTAACGATTGAAATGTTGCTTCTACAATTTGAGATTTTATCGCTGTGACTTCAAAAATTAATTTGAGCAAAACATGCCAGTAGTGAGACGAGCTAAGCAAGGTGCGGATAAAAAATTTCAAAATATACCAACAACGCAGATACAAATGTTCAATCGCATTTCACATCACAAAGTAAAACATCAAAACACGCTCAAGTTCTCCATTTATCGCTCTGGTTGTGTTTTCATTGTTTTCTTATCTTTGTTTGCTCGTGTTCAGATTTATTTTTAATTTGTTCGGAGGTATTTTCAATCAGTGATATGAATTGTTTCGGAATGTGTTGACGTGTGTGTGTGTGTTGCTATGTATTTATGTCAAATAACTAATTTACATTTAATTCATTTGCTGAACAACTTAGTATAAAAAAATCAAAGACATCAAGCATGTAGAAGTCCAAACAGCAAACCAAACATTAAAAAACTGAATAAACAAAAACATTATCTCCAAACGACAACAACAATTCAAAACGAAACACACAAAAAACATTTCGCCCTTGACATTTCTTGACCATCCATCAAAGTTGAGGGTCTCAGTCGATGGAGTGATCCGGGAACTTCCTTCTCTCGTGAACTGCTTCCTTTTTTACTGCGCTTTTCCAAATCCCGAAATTCCCACTCGTCATATCTTTAATTAAGGAATGTTCACAATCACGTAAGCACGCACGCACACACGCACGAGCGCACACACACTCTTGTAAAATATTGTTGAAATGCGTACAAACTCGTACAGGCTGCAGAGGTAAATAGAATTTGGTTTAATTATATTTTCGTTTGATGCGTTAATTCATTTTCTAGTTAATTTATTAATTTTTATATGTTTATTCATTTAGTCATGAATATATATTAAGAAAGCAAAGCAATAATTCAATTTATTATTTACCAAAAAACCATAGAGAAAAAACAGTCAAATAGACAAATGAATCGATAGAGTAATTTTTAAAAATATAGAAAGAAGTCACTTTTTTCCCAAATAAGATAATTTTTGCCATGTTTGCTCTACGTGTATTCCGACCTAACAACTGAATCGCAGAGGATCCTGTTGAGAATCCAATATGAGATGTTTTCGGATCTCATTTTTTATAACCTAGAATATCATATGAGGAAAATTTCTTTACGTGTCTGATTGTTTGCTAATCTGATATGAACAAAAAAATTCTGAAAAAACTACTACAAATTATTGAAGTTTTATATGCAAAAACAAACTAAAATTGCATTGCTTATTAACTTTTCTTAATTACGTCAAATTTGAAAACAGAGTTTATGTAACAAAATTTGAAATAAAAACATTTTCACCAAATAATTTGTTATACGAAAAAAATTTATAAATCAAAACATCTTGCTTACAAATTTGTTTTCGCGAAGAAAAAATTCATTTAACATAAAGTCTGCCTAACGAAGTTCGCAGAAAAGAGACTCAGCACGTAACGAAAGAGAGGGAGAGAGCTTGTGATATCATTTTCAAATGAATAGACTCATTCAGGTTATTATGAATGTTCCTGTGGAAAAATCTCTACTAAACGCTGTTTTTTCGTTAACTTGTGTGAATTTTAGTAACTACCCATCTCAAATCTAAAATTTCCAAATAAGAGAAGTCCTTTACCATTTTGTGGGATAAGAGCAAAGTGACATGGAAGGAGAGAAAGAGCAGAAGACAATGAGATATGCTAATCAGATATCAAATGCCAGCACTGCTTTACGTTATGCCTTTGCATTTGCGTTAAAGGTCGGTGCTGAATGTGTTTGTTTGTTTGTGTAGTATTATTTTGCTTGCGCGATTTTGGTTATGAAAATTTATGTTATTTTATATCTGCCTAAGTATACGCATTCATATACAAGCAGTGCATATGTATACGAATATGCAAGCATGCGTGCATGTGTTTGACCATATGGACAAAAAAGCCAGAATGTTTGTCCTGTCCACACAAAAAAGATGTGTTTTGGTTTGTACAAACAGTTGTGTTCTAATGTATGTATGTATGTATATGTGTCTGTATGCGTGAGTGTATGTGTGTGTGTATGTGTGTGGGTGGGTGTATATGTGTGTGTGTTTGTGTGCGTGTGTGCCTATTGTTAGACATTTGTTTGCTAATTGGAAGCTTTTTCCTTTTTCATATAAAATATATTTATTAAAACTAGAAGATTGCATATTTGTATGCATGAATGTATACTAGGGTGGTCACAAGAAATTTTTTTTCAAAATTTTATCGGGGGAACCCCCTAAATTGTGCTGCTTGACTAAAAAATGACATTTGTGAAGTTTTAACTCAATTGGATAATGCTAACCCGTGCCTCATCGAGGTTGAAATATCGAAAAATTGGAAAATTTTGAAAAAAAAACGCAGTTTTTGGTTTGTAAAATAAAAACGGTTCACTCTAGAAACATGATTTAAGTTTTATTTTGTTCATTGATTAGTTTTCTTCAAATGTTACTAAGATCACTATTTAGCTACAAGTTATAGTTTCTGATATATTTACATTGTTACAGATACACATTGAAAAAACGTTGAATTTCTCCATAACACAAAAACACACAATAACTTATTTACTATAACCAACCTGGGTGCTATATGTTGTTTTTATGTATCAATATTAAGATCTTTTGGTTTTTTTACGATTTCTGGTAAGGAGCAGTTGTACATTGGGATGGGAAATTACTTCCAGATATGTTAAATAAAGAAAATGTTGTAAGAGTTGCAGTCTTAATTAGCTGTGGAGAAGAAGAATAGTTAATCGGAGTTCCCCAATTAGAAAATGGTGCTGGCTGTATAATTGCAAAATCTGTTTATTCAGAACATGGAAAGTGGGGTGCACCAGACAAGATTCAAGCAATGTCCGACAACTGTCGGGAATACTGGCCGCATTAAAGGTGCTTGCGTTTTATTAGAGCAATTGATGGAGAAAAAATTATTGTATCTTCCATGTCGCTACCACATTTTGGAGGTAGTGTTGAGATCCGTTTTTGATGCTGTGATGGGAAGACTACAGGCCCTCAATCGGATATTTTCAAAAAATTTAAAACTGAATGGAACAACATTGATAAAAAAATTTAAATCTGAAGTTAAAGATAAGAGTGTAGCCAACAAATTGATTAATCCGGGTCAAATTTCAAGTTATCTTCTAGAACAATTAACAGTTCATCATTCAAGGAGCGATTACAAAAAATTGATTAATCTTTGTCTTATATTTTTAGAACGCTTTCAATCAGAAAACATCGTGTTTGCGGCTCCTGGTGCTTTTCATCATGCAAGGTGGATGGCAAAAGCGATATATTCGTTGAAAATAAACCTTTTCAGAGAACAGTTTCAACTGACAATTTTTGAAAAGCAAGGATTCCATGATATTTGCCTATTTATTATAAATATTTATGTGAAAGTGTGGTTGGATGCCCCGAAACCTGCACTTGCTCCAAACCAAGATTTACAATTGTTAAAATCTTTGGTAAATTACAATAAAGTCAATAAATTTATCTCAGATATATCAGTTTCAAAATTTATCAACCACATATAGTACCTCAATCCAGAGCAGGCTGTTTTTTCATTATTCGATGATTCATTAAGTAATTGTGTAAAAAAGAGAGTGACAACAAAATTAATATCTCAAGCAAATGAGGATGAAGAACTTGATGACTACTGTGATATGAAACCACTAATAAAAATAAATGAAGTATCAGAAATATTGGACAAAAATGCGGACCATTTTATTTCATGACAATCAAGTAATTTTTTAAAAAGATTTAATATTAATGATCAATTTTTGCATACCAATCCAGAATTATGGAGTAATAACGAAAAATATTTAAAGAGTAAAAAGATTGTGGACGGATTAAAAGTTTCAAATGATACAGCAGAAAGGGGTGTCATTTTTTAGCCAAGTGGCACAATTTAGGGGGTTCCCCCGATAAGATTTTGAAATTTTTTTTTTTACATATAGCGTTGTAACCACCCTAATGTATACGTACGATTTTCCCATGTGACGGTACTCACCACGTGTGATTTGTGATGTGCGTAGTTGTATATGTTCGGCATGTGATGTACGTGTATGTTTGGTATGTGATGTACATGTTATGTTCGGTATGTGATGTAAGGGTATGTGAGGTATGCCGCAGTCAACTAAAATAAATTTACATCATTGTAAATAATTAGAAATAATTATCATATGTAATGCAACAGCATTAGAGTAGCTCATAAATGACTGCACTAATAAGGAATTAATTGATATCGATTGCTCGGCATGGTAAAAGAGTTCTGCTTATCAGTTCGCCATCGTCGTCGTCACCATCCCAAACCAGCTGAATGTAGAACATCTGCAAACAATTCCACCCAACTGAACAACTCCAAACGATAACAACTAATCGACAACAACCACCAAACTATCACAACCAAGCAACTACCAAACCGCAATCTTATGGGATTACAATTTTCAAACTGCAACAAAAAAACCTTTCAACAATACTTTCCAACATTTCCAACACAAACACACATTCACACACGCACACACACGCACACACACACGCACACACACACGCACAATCACACACGCACACGCAAATATACAAACGTATAAAGTTTCCAGATTTGCATTGCAATCATCATCAATACCAGCCTCTGTTTACTCAGGCCATTTATCAGTCATAATGTTTTTTCATATACACATATGTTCTATATATATATATATGTATATTCTATATATATATATATATATATGTATATATATTCCATATATATATATATATACATATGTATGTGCTATTTATCTACATGTATGTTCTATATTTATATATATTTATATTTTATCTGTGTATGTGCATGTGTGTATGTGTGTGCAGTGCATATATGCATGTGTGCTGAAATAAACAAATAAACTTTCATTTGTTAAGCTTTCTACGAACTTGAGAATTGAATTCAAGCATGGATGAATAATTTTTCAAATAAATAAATTTTAGAGTTTTTATTCTCAACTATAATCTTTGAAAAAAAATTTTTTATTATCGACCACGAGGACATATCTCCATCAATTATCGCCCGCTGAGCAGAAACCTATTTTATCACCCACAACCAACTTGACATTCAGGCATATGCGCGCCATCTTTTTCTCCATCTCCATCTTCTTTGGTGGTTTTTTTTGGTAATTATTTTGTCTATGGAGGAAATGTTTTACAAAGATGCATTAAAATAATGGGACGCTACTTCAAAAATGATATTTCGCCAAATTCTTCAAATGTTGCTGCGAAATAAAATTTTTAAGCTTTCTTCGAACTTTCAATTTTTCTACGTTTTCTTCATTCATCTTGCGTACTTTTTCTAAATTTCGTGAATTATTCATCTTTCCTGATGAAAAGTGAAAATTGCATTAAAGCATTTATTATTTAGAACGAAATTCGTTTGGCACTCTGGCGTCAAGTATGTCCAAAAAACCGTCTGTTGGACGGTTTCATTTTATTCAGCACTTGTTATTGCCCTATTTAGATAGGTTTTTAATGTGTTATTAAATTTTTTAAAAATTTTCTTATACATTTTACTTTTTTTTATTTTTAAAATTAATTTAAAATAAATTTATTTTTAAATTTAATGTGTTATTAAATTTTTTAAAAATTTTCTTATAAATTTTACTTTTTTTTTATGTTATAAACATTCTAAAGTCATATTTCATTTCTCAGCATTTGATATTTTTTACTAAAGTAATGATTCTCTTTGCAGCATGTTTGCATTCAAATGTTTGTTAGTCGATTGGTTGGCCTATGATAGGATAGTTGGTTGGTTGGTTAATTGATTGGTTAGCCTATGTTAGGATGGTTGGTTGGTTGATTGGTTGATTGGTTAGCCTATGATAGGATGGTTGGTTGGTTGATTGGTTGATTGGTTGGTTGGTTATTTGTTAGTGAATTCCAACAATGTTCAATGCATTTTGCTTGCAGGCATATCATCTCATTCATTTTTTCTCCAGTTATGTTTGTTCTTGGTATTAGATGTTTCGCTCCGGGCATATTTTTTTTCTGATGATGTAGCATCCTTCCACTACTTCTAATAAATATGCGATGTATTTTATTGCGTTCATTATTCTCGCTGGCCTCTGCGTATGAATTTACAGAAGAAATCAAACATCGAATCCAGCAGAAAATTAAAACAACGGACAGAAATCTACCGCGAAAGCGTGCTAAGTTTGAAAATGTAATTCAATTCAGAAACACGTAAACAAGAGAATGTGTACTGTACATGAAGAAAGAATAACCTGACAAACCAACAAACAAACAAATCAACGTTACGTCTTACCATTAATCTAAACTTGTCATACTTACCGAAACACACGCAAACCTCACGCCCAACAAACATAAAAAATTTCTTTCCCGCTAATATCGTAAGCAAAAGCGTAAAATTTCGTACATCATCCCTACGTACGAATACACGTTACCATCCAACACAAACAGCACATACATACCTAAAAAACATACTCGCAAACACATACAAAAAACAAACACTTACAAACAAACAAACAAGCACATACATACACCTAGAAAAAAAAATCTCAAACACCCAAAAACCTTCCCACAAATACTTGCAATAATGTACAAACGAGCTCAGACAGACACTTATAACATGCACTGCAATCGTCTTCTCCCATTCCCAGCCACCATTTCAACTACTTCACTCCAGTCGAGACAGAAATATCTCCACTCTTCTTATTATTTCTTGCAGATGAAAAAATATTCCTCAAAATGAAATGAGCTAATAGTTTTAAGTCTGTGAAGTTTAGTTTGTGTGTGTGTGTGTGTGTGTGTGTGTGTGTGTGTGTGTGTGTGTGTGTTGTATATTATCGCACGTTCAAACGCACATGGAGAACTGGATAAACTGCAAGAAGTCTGAAACACATGAAACAGCGTAAAAAGATTGTACCATTGTAAACGCCACACACACGCTCCTATGTGCGTGCATGTGTGTATAAATTATATTATTTTAAGTTATCAGCTTCGTGAGTCCTTTTTAAAATGCCATGCTTTTTGTTTTGGCTATAAAAAATGCTTTCGTGTAAATTTTTATTTTAAATATATATGTATTTTTTTCTATAGGAGTATATATATATATACATGTATATCTTCTTTTGTATGCCATCGTTTGTGTGTCTGAATGTATGTTTGTGTACGTGTGAAAGTGGATGTACACTAAACTCAGAAAACTGCGCACAAACGCTGTAATTTTGTTTATGCGCATGTGTATGCTCGTACACACAAACAAACATGCTAACACACAAGCACACACACTTACGCATATACACAAACAGACATGCTAGCGTTTCACCCACATACACTCACACAAACAAGCATACTAACACACATACACACACGCACACACAAAGAGATATAATAGAACAAAATACACACACACACACTAGAACACACACACACACACAACAAGCCGACCGACCAAGAGCAGGCATTCGTGAGAGATGACTTTTTCGCATGATGTTTATAATTTTTTTTCTGAAAACTTCAATCAAATCTAGTAAGACCTACCTACCTCAATTACTAATTCAAGTCATTGTTGATGTTGTTGTTGTTAACGTCGTTGTTGTTTTCAACCTTGTTGTTGTTTTTAGCATGGTTGTTGTTGTTGTGGTTAATTTTACTGTTGTCGTGGTTGTTTTGTTTGTTGTTGTTGTGGTGATGGTTGTTGATGTTTTGTTGATGTTGTCATTATGTTGTTGTCGTTGTTGTTTTCGTTAAGTTACGACTGTTGCTGTCAGCAAAGGCTTCACTGTCAATACTTTCTAGGGCTATAATTAATGTCGTTATTGTCGTCAGCTTAATAATTTCCGCCCATTATAAAATTATTTCGAACGTTGTCTTTGTTTCTCTAACTTTGCTAGTAAACAATGAAAATAATAGGGCAATGATAATAATGATGGTAACAATGATGATGACGATGATGGTGATGATGACGATGATGGTGATGATGACGATGATGGTGATAATGACGATGATGGTGATGATGACGATGATGGTGATGATGACGATGATGGTGATGATGACGATGATGGTGATGATGACGATGATGGTGATGATGACGATGATGGTGATAATGACGATGATGGTGATGATGACGATGATGGTGATGATGACGATGATGGTGATGATGACGATGATGGTGATGATGACGATGATGGTGATGATGATGACGATGATGGTGATGATGATGACGATGATGGTGATGATGATGACGCGGCAATGACATTGACGACAGATTTGCAGATGTAGAAAGTAAAGTTAATCCGCGAATTTATTTCTTTTTAACCTAAAAGATTATTTTGTGGCGCTGAATGCCTGACTGGTTGGTTGGTTGATTGGCTGGTTGGATGGTTGGTTGGTTGGATGGTTGGTTGGTTGGATGGTTGGTTGGTTGGTTGGTTGGATGGTTGGTTAGATGGTTGGTTAGTCGGTCGGTCGGTTAATCATTTTCCAAAGCATTATCAAAACTAAGAATTTTTAGTTCTTTCTTATATCAATTATTATCAACATTACATTCTAACCATTAAAAACTTTATTGTCAAAGTTAACATTGCCATCACCGTTAAAGTCATCATCACGTTAATCATAATCATAATCCTCTCATTACCAACATTTCCCACTCTCATTAAATTTATCTTAGACGGGAGCCTTCAACTTTACTAAGAGATCATCTTTACCTTGTTTTTCCTCTTCAATTTAACTTTAAAAATAATAATAATTTTCATATATTTGTCGTAAAGTGTGTTTATATTTTATTTTGTTATTAATATTAAAATCTTAAAATGATATTTATTATTTTTTTTTTAGTTAATTGTCGTAGCGCAACACCGGGACCAGACGCACAACAACAACAAAATCGTCGTCATCATAACCATCGTCACAACAACGTCAACATCACAACAACAACATTACAACAACAACATCAACGCCATCATCACATCAACATCACCATCGGCAATAACATCACTACTAACTGTAGCTCGCTCGAGACAGGTGAGTATATGGTGGTGCTGCAATTGAAATAGTTCATCGTCCTTTAGGTTCATCTCATCTTGACCTTTGTTGGTGATGTGTTGTGGTGGTGACGTTAATGATGATGATGACGGTGGTGATGTAGTGTGTGTGTATGTGTGTGTACGTGTGTGGTGTGTGTGTGTGTGTGAGTGTGTGTTGTGTGTGTGTCTATAGAAAAAGTTTGCTTTATGTCTCTGCAGGTATATACGTATTAAACAAATATTTTTCGTATTCATTTCCTCTATTATTTTTATGATTTTGCACGATATAAACTGATATAAGTTTTTTCATGAAATTGTTTTGAAGTTTCACTGAAATTTAATCAATCAACTAATTAATTGATTAATCAAATAATTATTTTTTTTAGCTAATTAAGCTTCTTAGGTAATTTTTTTATATGTAGAACTTTTCAAAATTTTAATAAAGGTTTAACATTTTTATAAACAATATCTAGAATAATATCTAGATATTTCACGAAATGGTAAAATATGTTAGTTACTGTTTTATAAAAACATCTACAACTTGTTTCTTAAAACTCTTCTTTAATTAACTTGTACAAATATCAACAACAAGCCTACACACGCCACACACACGCCACACACACAAGCGCAAGCACGCACACGCTACACACAAACACCCACGCTACACACCCCACGCGCACATACACACATACACATCTTATATAAATACGTTTGAATGAACGTATCAAACACATAGCATGTGATAGACGAGGCAATCCTTGCAGTCAAATCCAGTATCTACGACGTCAGAATCAGACGCCTCAACCATTACACTATGATTTAAAATTTTTTTTTTCAAGTTTCAAGATGGCTCCGTGCTTGTTGTGTGAAAGTATGGCAGGTTAATTTATGTCTTATTGTCACTGTTCATCAGTTTATAATCTAATTAGATGGTTGTTCTTGTTGCTTGTGATGTTGTTGTTGTTTGTTGTTGTTTGTGAGGTTGTTTTTTGTGATTTTGTTGTTTGTTGTTGTTTGTGGGGATGATTATTTACATACAAAACATACAACATACAAACAAAGATACGAACACACAAAGAATAACATGAAAAAAAATACATAAAATAAATACATACAAACAAAGATACACGCATTCAACAATACAAAATCATACAAACAACGATACGCTTATACAAACATACAGAAAAAACATACAAAACCTACATACAAATTAAGGTACACGCATACAAACACGCAAAAAACATACAAAACATACCGCCGGTACTTCCGGCCTTTTCAATGGCCAGAAGTTTTTTCTCTATCTTGCGCTTGTTGTTGAGGAATGCGTTGCAGTAGGCGCTCTTTGCCATGTGGATGCGGGCCAGGCGAGATTTCTGATGAGTATGATGATAAAGAAGAAGAGGAAGAAGATGATGATGATCTGGATGATGATAATGATAAAGATGATAAAGACGATGATGATCTTAATAGCGATGATGATTATCGTAAGTTAATTGCGGTATAATGTTGTGATATCAATGTATCATGATTGTTGATGGTGATATCAGCGTATCAGGATTGTTATTGGTGATAGCAATATATCATGATTGTTATATAATGAACACAATTAAATACACAATCAGAACTTTGCTAACTTTTATGAAATTTAATTCGCAAATCAAAATGTTTAAATAAAAGAGAAGTTCATCTAAACAACATTTTTTAGATTTATACTTTGCAGTAACGCAGCATTCAAAAGCGCTTACAATTCAGCAAGTTATCTCTAGAAACTCAGCTGACACAACCCCAGAGCATGCTGATTTATAGAAATCAAACATGAAAATGTACATACATTATTCAAGCGAAACCTCGCGAAGAATTGACCGACCATTCATCATATAAATGATTTTCTGGCAAAAAAAAGCTATGTAAATATTTATGCGTTTCCAGGGCAGATTATGAAGAATTGATAACTAATTGTGGTTGTTGCTGGACTTTGAACGTTAAATGATGGAACTACTAAGCTATGTGATATTATTTCAATCGTCATCATCATCTTCGTCGTCGTCGTCATCCTGGTCACCTTCATCACTCAGCACAAAAACTCGAGTCACTTTTACAAGCGTCAACAAAAACAAAAAACACTAAATAATTCAAAGGTAAAGTTTGTAGGAAAAAAAGATTTTTTTTAGTTCGTTCCTGCATTTTGAAGTTTTGAATTTTTTCTTGCGGCTATCATCGCTCACATGAAGTGGTGGGAACATTTGGAAAAGATGATGGTGATGATGATTTATGATGAAGACGATGATTTACGGCAATGGTGATAATGATGATGGTGATGATTGTAGCACCGATAAAGATGACGATGATGCTGATGGCAAACGAACGATGGTGACAATCATACTGAAAAATGATTACAGAAACTCCTGATGTTGATGATGTTAATGTTGATGAAAATCATTTTAATGGTAAGAATGATTGGATGGTGGTGGTACTTTTGTAATTTTTCAAATAATTTCTCCCGTTACATCGAGGGGCCATCGTTGAAAAACAGAAAGCAGAACATATGCGAGACATCCATTTCATATTTTTAGTAAATGTATCTATAGGAAAAAAAATCTATTCTCGATTCTGATTGGCTAGCCAGCCGGAAGTCTCTAGTGACCTCAGTGTAAATAAACGTGGCGACGCAAGGATTTACGCGCGTACGCATCGAAGAATTGAAAATGTTCATTTCTGAATTTCAACTGAAAACATTTCACTTGACATCTCGTCAATATATCAAATTCAACATTCGAAGTGTTAAGTGATATTTTGTGTTTTGCGTTGTGTCTCTGTGTGTGCGTTTCGTCATTGTTCGTGTGCGTGTTAACAGTGTGTGGGCATGTATACATGCTTGTCGTTTGTTTTCTACTGTTTATATGTTTGTTCATTATTGTTCATGTTTGAGTGTATGCTTGTTAATGTGTGCATGTATGTGTCTATGTATGTTTGTATGTGTCTGTATGTGTTTATGAGTATATGAATGTTTTGCTTTTGTTGTTATGAATGTACGTGTGGACCTTAATTCAATTACCTAAAATGTATATATATATATATCATTAATTACATCTGGCATGAAAGGCTTTAAAATTACTTTTCGGAAATATGGAAAAGCTTTGAAAGAAAACAAAAACAAGTGTGAAAGTTTAAGAAATATAATAGTTTAATCACAAAAATTTTTTTATTAGTTTCACAATGTGTTTGCGTGTGCGTGCGTGTGTATGTATGTGTATGCATGTGTGTGTGTGTGTGTGTGTGTGTGTGTGTTTGCACGCAATAATTGATCAATACAAAAAAGCAGGATGATACACACACGCAGACGTACACAAAAAAGAACAAACTAACACACATACACACAGACAGACACACACAGACACAGACAAACATAGACATACATACACACACAGACACAGACAAACACAGACAAACGCACAAACTTGCAATGAAAATAATGTCTACAGCGTTACAATTTTCTTCATATAAAAAAAATTGAAGTATTAGAAATGTAAAATAATTTTTAAAAGTTTAAATTATTATTTAGGAGAATTTTTTTTAATTTTTTGATTTTTTTAATAATATGAAAAATGAATTTTAAAATTTTTTTAAAGGCGGCTTAAATCATCGGCGTTAAAAAGAAATTGAAAGGATGAACATGATGGGATCATCAGATGGATGAACGGTTGATGAATGGAAAGATGAATGAATGAATGAATGGATGAAAAAAAAGAATGATATATAGAGGAACAATTAAATTAATGAAATAATTAATGATTAAATGCTTGAATGAATAATTCAATCTAGGAATGATCATATGATTTAACAAAAATGGTTGTGTCGATTGATAGATGGATGAATGGATGGATGGATGGATAGATGGATGGATGGATAAATAGATGGATAGCCAGATGGAGAAATGTAGAGAGATGGAAAGATGATTGATGAATAGAAAAGCAAACGGAAGACTGGATGGATTGATTAATGAATGAATAAATATGATTGTTTGTGTAAACACTTAGCTTGAGTAGATACATGACTAATTCAATGTTATCACAGGCGTATTAAAAGTTTTCCACAATTTTTTTGCCTTTGTATACTCATTTTCTATTCGTGTTCCTATTGTATTAATAGCTGTATAACTATATATAGAATTGTGTGTGTCTCTCTCTCTCTCTTTCTCTCTCCCTTTCTTTCTCTCTTTATCTTTCTCTCTGTGCGTCTGTCTGTTCTGTGTCTGTTTGTCTGTGAATGAATGAACGGATGAATAAGAAAATGCATGACCAAATAGACGGATTAATAGCTAAAAGATTTCCAGATAGATCGAAGGTGGTTAAATGAATGAATAAATGAAAAACTAAACGGATAGTCAGGCAGATAATTGAACAAAAGAATGTAAAGAGTTTGGATAGAAAGATAGAAGAATTAATGGATGGATGGATGAATGAATGAATGGATGGATAGAGAGATAGATGAATGGAGTTATCACATAATTGTTTCCAACAACTGCTGCTGCAACATCATGGATTTTAATTAAATTTTTTTCAATCAGTACAAAATTCAATTGCATTGCAGGCGGTTGTTCGTGTGTCTGTGTGTGTGTGTTGGTTGCTGCGTACCTTTATATATTTCTACACACACACACACACAAACACACAAATTCACAACACACACACACAAACACACATACATATATTCACACACACATATATATCTCATACATATATCCATACACACACATAATAACATCACATACATATATTCATACACACATACAAATATTCATAGACACACACATTCCGTACGCTCACATGCATGCTTTCACGTACACACATGCACACATTCAAGTGCACACACTTTCACGTACACACACCTCAACCTAATAAAAAAGCTTTAATATAGTTGATGCTATTAAAAATAGCAGTTGATGGATAGATGGATTGAACGAAACGGTTTGGTCATGAACATATACCGCCGGCGTGCGTGAGTGAATGAATGAATGAATGAACGAACGAATGAATGAATGAGAAGATGATGGATGGATTGAAGAATGAATGAAAGAATAATTCCATTAGATAAAATCATCATCATCAATCAACCACTTCGCAGTCGCCATTATCATCATCATTATCATCACTATCATCATCATTATCATCATATTCATCATCATAATCATCATCATCATCAGAGTTTAAAAAACGTCTTAAACACATCTGTTTAATAAACATTCAGGATCGACACTGCCTGTGATGTTACTAAATAAATGCTTGCAGCATGTTTCTACCTGGATATTTCAACATGGGGAGCGCTAATGAGGAGCAATTATAATTAGCGCTATATAAATAACAATAACATCATCATCGTCGTCATTACCATCATCTTCAAACAAACAAACCTACAAACAAACGAACGAACAAACAAACCTACACACATACAAACCAACAAACAGACAAACAAACACATACAAAATCTTTCTCGTATTTTTGCACTCTCACGTTCGGCCAACAATAAACAATCGTTAAGTCGGCTTCTTCTCTTCTTGACATTTTATAGCATCTTTCTCAATTACGAAGATGATGACTTCAAAAGAGTTGTCTGTCATGATGATGATGATGATCATCATCATCATCATCATCGTCATCATCGTCATCATCGTCTTCAAATTCTTAGCATAATCATCTTCTTCTTTACCGTCGTCATCATCCTCTTTAATATTTTATTTCTTTTCGTCAGTGCGTGTGTACTTTTTTGCTGGATTGCGTTGTTTTCATGTTTGCGAGTTGTGTGGTTGTATGTTGGATTGTATGTTGGATTGTATGTTGGATTGTTTGTATAATTGTATGTTCGTATGATTGTATGTTCGTATGATTGTATGTGAGTTTGCATGTATGGTTGTATGTTGGATTGTATGTTGGATTGTTTGTATAATTGTATGTTCGTATGATTGTATGTTCGTATGATTGTATGTGAGTTTGCATGTATGGTTGTATGTTGGATTGTATGATTTAATAAACTATAAAATAGATATGTGTTTGTCCAAAATTCACAGATTACTCAATTTAGATTCTAATGTATCAATATTTTATTTTGTGCATTCATACCCGCATTGGAGTTATCAATTATTCTTCAACAATTTTCAAATGTACGATGACAATTTATGTTATGTTTATATGAAGCTATTTCTACTTGAAAATTTAAAAAAAAATTTAAACTATTATATTCTATTTCTTATACAAGTTGTCGGAAAACTATTAATATATATATAATGAAAGAACACGGCAACGAAACTTATGTACCAGTTGTATGTTGTTATGTGTGTTTGTGTGTGTGTTTGTTTGTGTGTGTGTTTGTTTGTTTGTGTGTGTGTGTGTGTGTGTGGATGTTCAAATTCTAACCTGCCCCATTCATTTATACCCCGCAAGAAGATCCTTACATAGAGAGCAGCATTAGCACTTGACATTTGATATTGTACTAACTATCATTCTTCCTTACACCATCCATGCTTGTGTAAGCACACACACGCACGCACACGCACATACATTTATACACACACACGCAAACACACCACACACAAACACACGCGCATGTAGCATATAACCATCATGCCAGCAACAATTTGAACACATAAGCACATCAGTATAATTATAAATTAAATTAAAACCCTACGAGGCAATTACTTTGAAATAGTGTCTTTGTTGAAAAGAATTGCTAAATCAATGGATGTAATTTATTATGTTGAATGAAATGAAAAAAAATTTGTATCTCATAAACATACAACTTTCATGGTTAAAATAAGGAAAGTCGCTACATACATAAACAAAAATACACACATACATAACAAATACACAAACATACAAAAAAAACACAAATATACAAAACAAAAACGCAAACATACAAGACGAAATACAAACACTCACGAAAGAAAAAAAAACTTTTATTATCATGCAAAGTAAGCATCTTATTATCGCTCACCTCAGATGGCTAGCTCATTCACAGACACGCACACATACCTTAATAAAATTGGACATCATTTTTTTATACACACACACACACACACACACACACACACACACACACACACACACACAGTGACCTACTCCGGAGCAGCAATGTAACCTTGAACTTTAAACTCTGACCCCCTTTCCCCGAGTACTTCCTCTTACGAATGTACCATTTTAAAAATACGATGTCACGCGATCATTTATGACTTCGGAAGAATGTGACTCATTCTTCGTATAAAGTCTTTCCATATGATTGGGTAGTTATTTCATCGTGATGGTAGGGCGCTCTTATCAATTTGTTGTTCATCGTCAGTCTCATCATCATCGTCGTTGTCATCATAATCGTCGTGGTCATCATCATTGTCATCATCGTCCTATTTATTGTTAACGTCACCGTCATCATTTTGTTACTGTGAACGTTTCTATGATTGTTACCAGGTTCGTTCGGATTTATAAAATTTTGGGTTGGTTCGTTTATTGTCGAATGATTGCATGGATGAATGGATGGATGGATGGATGGATAGATGGATGGATAGATAAATAGATATATGGATAGATGGATGGAGGAATAAATGGATAGATGGACGAATAAATGAATGAAAAATGAATAAAAAGATGAATGAACAAATGAATTGATGAACGAGTCAACAGCTTGATGGATGAATGGATGATTGAGCAGATAGATAATTGATCGGATTAATAGGTGAATAGATGGATTGATAGATGGATGAATGAATAGAAGGACGTATGAATAAAAAAATGATAAAAAGAACAAATTACGCAAAAATGATTCGACGAGGAAAAACTAAAATACATGAAAGTTAGGAAATTAGATAGAAAATAGGCAAGAATAGTGAAAAATGTAGAACAAAAGGACGAACCCTAAACCTGAAACAACAAAAAAGCGGGAAAACTGAATATAAAAATTAAAAAATTTGTCTGAAAGAACCGAAAAAATGTTTATAATTATAAAAAAAAATTATTCAAAAAATTTGTGAAAAGACAAAATAAATGAACGAATGGAAAATGAAAAGTCGGTAACAGGAGAGGACTGAACAATATGAGAGGAGGAAGAAGAGAAGAAAAGACGATGTAGAAGAAAGAAATTAAAACGTCTGCTGAAATTGAATGTGTAAAAAGAAAGTACAGTAAAAGGGGATCCATGCAATATCCAGCACGAAATGGGATGGGATATTTGGTGAAAAAAAGTGTGCAAGCTGAATTGATGGCGTCGTTAACGCGCTTCAACGTGTACATTTACGTTTACATCATGTACGTGTGTGTGTGTGTGTGTGTGTGTGTGTGTGTACGTGTGTGTGTACCTGTGTGTTTGTCTTTGTGTGTGTGCATTAGTGCGTGAATTTGTGTGCGTTTTTGTTTTCATGTGAACGTTTATGAACAAGTCTGTATATATACGTCTGTGATGTGTAAACAAGTACTTTGTGTGTGCGTGTGCGTGTGTGTGTGTGTCCTGTTTGATGCACAGACTGGTGGGTACGTGTTTTAGTGTCAATATGTGTATTACTCTGTGTATTTTCATAGAAAGACTTTGAAAACATTGTTTGATTGAATATGTCTGTCAGAGTTTGTGTGCGTGTTTATGTTTGTGTGCTTGTTTATGTTCCTCCTTGATCTGTCTGAAGTATTTTTTAAATGTATCATATTGTTGGTCATGTTATTTTGGAGATTGTAGTTGTTTGAGATTAACTTCATTATATAGTGTTGTTGTTGTTAGTTGCTCCTGTGCTGTTGTGCCTTCTGACTTTGACTTTACTTTCATTTTTTATGAAGTCTTCCTTATTTTTCTACCTGTTCATATTGAGTTAGGTGTTTCATATTTGAGATTGTTAAGTCTCAAAAATCATATAGCGTTCATTTATTTTATTTATCTGCCAATTAACTCTTCGAGTTTTAAAAAGTTTGTCTCAGGAATGAATTCGATTTAGAATTCAAAACAAACAAAAATATTTTGGAAACATTTCAACGGTACAAAAATAGAACATAAACAATAACAATTATGAAAACATTAGAACGAAATTTTCAAAAACCAAAAGGGCTGAAAAAGTTGTAGCAAAAATAAGAAAATAAAGCATAGAGAGAAAGAAAGAGAGAGAGAGAGAGAGAGAGAGAGAGAGAGAGAGAGAGAGAATAGAAAAGACATTTTGCATTGTAATCCTACGTAAAGTTCAATTTATGTTGATGGCGAAATCTTTAAAATAAAAATTTTTTGGAAAGTTTGTCGGATCAACAGCAGCAACAACAACTGCAGCAACAACAACAAAATAACAACAGCCACAACAATATTACTCTCAAAATAACTAAAACGACAACACAATGCCAGTCTAACCAGCAACAACAACAACAACTTCAAAGACAATTTCAGGACCTTGAATTTGAAAAAAAATTCAAAAAACACCAGAATAAAAATTTAGCAACTCAACAACTAAAATAACAACTTTAAGGACGAAATCAATAAACACACAAACACAAACACATACATACGTATGTATGTACGTACACACACGCACACACGCACATACAGAGGCACGCGCGCACACACACACACACATTCATGCAAAGCCTACGCAAGCGTTTTGTTTAGATGAGTAACAACAACAGAGCAGTAGGGGCCATGAAAGCGTTCATTAACGAGCTTCAATGCAACATAACTTCCGAATTTTCTATCATTAGCGCATTGCTAACCCTTCAAAGTGACGTCCACATCTCATCATTAAGCGCATCTCCAACCTACTTAACACACCAGCTACGATCATTAGACCCCTACTTTATATTACATTTTTCTAATTACGTTCTCATCTACCACCGTAATAACGTGCCCTCTGCCTACGCTGTGCGTTTCTACATACTCATAAAGACCGTTTAATAACAATAGATATACGATTATATCTTGCTAACAACCCGAACCAATTCTTTCGTATTGTTTTTGCTGAAAGAAAAGTTCCTACTTACAATACTATAACGATTGTCCTACTTAAATTTATAATTTTTCTTCTAGGTTTAGTGATGTTACGTAAAAATTAGTTTCGGATGTAGTTAATTTTCATTATGTGTAAACCTAAACACGCTAACAACATTAATCGCAAAATTAAAAATACGTCAATCACTACAGGAGAACAACAACATTGCCCCTAGCAACATCAACAACGACAACATCTTTGTAATTTCAGCAACAAACCAACAACAAAATTAACAGAATGGTCAACAACAAAAAGACAACAAAATCGAAAACCCCCAAACATCGTCGTCCTACAACCAAAAACAACAACAACAACGTCGTCATTATCATCCTTACCTACAACAACAACAAAAACATTGATAACGTGATAAAAAAAATGAATAACGAACCACAACATCGTCGTCATTACCATCATTGCATAGAATCAGAAACAAAAACAACGACAACATCAGCAACAACATTGACAACAACAACATCAACAACAACAACATCAACAACAACACATCATCAACATCAATATCAACAACAACATCAACAACAACAACATTGATCACAAACCTTTTGTGCTTTTCGTTTGTCAGACCTCTGATTTTGATGGTAGATTCTACTGAAGTTTGAAACAATGACTGGAACGGGAAGTGCTATGACCAGTACTCCACTCAGCGAACAAACGCTTCCAACTACTTTGCCGATTATTGTTGCGGGTACCATATCACCGTATCTACATATGTGTGTGTGTGTGTGTTTGTTTGTGTGTGTGTGTGTGTGTGTGTGTCTATGTATGTGTGTGTGTGTCTATGTATGTGTGTGTGTTTGTTTGTGTGTGTGTCTATGTATGTGTGTGTGTTTGTTTGTGTGTGCGTGTGTGTTTTTGTGTGTGTGTTTGTTTGTGTGTGCGTGTGTGTTTTTGTGTGTGTGCGTGTATGTGTATTTTTGTTGCGTTTGTTGTTTATTCGTTAACGTTCGTAAAAATGGTGTTGTTTTAGATTTGGATTTTATGATTTTGCGGTTTGTATGTAGTTAGAAAAGTTGTTGTCGTTTGTGTTAAGCATTTGTTTTTTTTTTTGATTTGCAGTCTCCATTGTTTCATTGATTGTTCGTGAAAAAATTGTTTTTCTACCTCCATTGTTTCTTGAAATCATCATTAGTTTGTTTCTTATAGGCAAGCATTTGTTTTATGGATGTAAAAAAGGCGAGCCATGTTCTGGAGGAGTCATTGATGTAGTTTTGATGTTGTGTGCTTTGTGTGACTATCGTTGTAGAGGATTTTTTTGTTTTGTTAATTTTTAAAGTGCTCGAATTGAATTATTAATAACAAGCCAGGGTTTTTAAATTTTGGTCGATTATGTGGTTAATAAAACTGTTTTAATGGTTGTTGGTTTAATTCTAATAGTTAGGTATATATGGATAACATGTGCAAGCTCTTAACACGTCCTACAAACTGATTGTCCTGCAGTTGAGAAGCAGTGAAATTAAACTAGAAAATATTCCCCCCAACACACCAGCAAACGTTCTTCTCTTTCACAACACATGTAATCCATTTAGGATTTTTTCCAATTTTTTCCACGCAATCAACTATAAGAACTCAGAAAAATTATCCTAGTTGATTCGCAAGATAAATTAAAAAGTCACAAAACTAGCCAAAACAACTGCAGAAATTGCACAAAAGTGTTGTAGGAACAACAACTACAACAGCAACAACACACACACTAGCATTAAAACCAGGATAAATGTTGACGTTAATAAAAACATCATCAACAACAACACAACAACAACAACACTCCCAACAACAACACAACAACAACACGACAACAAAACACTCCCAACAACAGCACCAACAACAAAACACTCCCAACAACAACACTCCCAATAACAAACTAACATTAGGATGCAGTTTGAGAATCGTACGAAGCAATTAATTTTAACATTCAATACCTACTGCAAACACCGCTCCTGCTTACTCAAGGTCGTATTTACTCCCATACACACATACAGACAAATATAAATGCATACAGACAAATATAAACTCATATATATATATATATATACATATATATATATATATATATATATATATATATATATATATATATATATATATATCGAAGTATACACACATATATCCAAATATACACGGATATATACATACAAATAAGCAAACGTATTGTATACATTATACATACATGGTCATATATTTTCGATATTTATGTATTACAACATGCACGCTTTTATCCAATTTTTTGAAGAGATAAATTCAAATCCGAAGCGCAAAGAAACGCGTTTTCACTGAAAAAAAATTTTTTTTAGACATAATGAATTACCTCGAGAAACACACACGTATGTGAAACTCAACAACATTTTCAAAGTTTCTAAGCCTATTCATAATCAACAACCTATCAAATAAGTGAATAAAAGTTATGAAGTATGTGTACATTATGTGTACATATGTGTGAACGTTTGTATATGTGTATATGTCAGTGTATAAACTTGAAGCTTTTAAAAGTGAACAACAGCATTTGCTAGATTACACATAGAAGAATCACGCATATATACACGCAGTTAATTGCACACGTACAAATACATAGTTACACATTAAACATAAATTACAAATATACACACTCATACACACGCATACAGACACACACATAAAAAATAAATTACAAAGAAACATACACGTACATACGCACACACGCATAATAATTTACACACGAGTTTGTGTAGAAACGCGCGCGCATAATTTAGCGCTGCTACATCAGAGAGACGATCGCTCAAAAATCTTTCTATCATGACGTCAACCACATAGATATATAAATCAGGCACTGGACCAAAGATATATAAATCACTTTTCTCACCATATCACTACAACAACGGTGTGTTCGTGTGTGTGTGTGTTTGTGTGAATAGTACAACAGAAGCCCACCACACAACCAAAAGTGGGAACTAGATGCCCGAGCTAACAGATGTTTTAATTTTCGAGATTTATTGCTATTCTTTTTTACTTTTCATTAACTTCAGAAAAGAAGTGAAAACATTTGACGATGGTGCTGTGCTGTCGTTGTATGTTTCTTCTGGCTACTTTCATCACAAACTGTTTTCTTCTTTCTTTTATAACTTTTTGTGTTTGATAAAATGCCAAAAGCTGATGGAATGGTGGTCGTGTAATTGTTTGGAAGATTTATTTGCAGCTGGAGATGAACTTTTGAAACATGGTCTTTCATTCCGCACTATCAGCAAGGCAATCTACTTCCATCAACACCACTTCTACATTTGCTACAATGGAAACAACTTCAATATCGTCAGCTACAACTCAACAGCAGACGACTAAAAAATTTTTTGCCAAGTCAACAACTGCAAAACAACAAAACATTTATAATTAGTGCAAATACAAACAACGATGACAATAATGACACATTTTTTTTAAAGTACTAATTATTATAATTCATTGCGAATGAATGAATGATTGATTGATTGAATGAATTAATGAATGAATGAATAAATTACTGAATTAGTTAATGTTTTCAAATATTCAATAACTGTCATTTATTTGTGTTTGTTTGTCCATGTGTGTTCATTTGATTAATAAAAAACACAATAAATTTAACAGCATAATAAGAAAATAATCTGAAAATCAAATGAATCAACAACAAATTCAGACAAGCAAATGAAAAAATAAATGGATGTTTTGGATTAAAAGACGGATGATCTGCTTGTAACACGTCAAAATAATCAAACAACATTTCTTTGTACTTAAATAGCTGAGATGTCTCATGTCTGTGTGTGTATGTGTGCGCGTGCGTGCGTGTGTGTAAGTTAAGTTTGGGTGTGTATGTGGATATGAATAAATCTGGTTGTTGGTTAGTTAGTTTATGTGTGCTTGTGTGTGTGCGTGCGTGTGCGCGTGTGTGTGTGTGCGTGTGAGGCAGATAGAAAAAAAGAAAGACTAATTATAAACATTAGAATGATAGATATTTTATTTAATAATCACAATTAACTCACAGACGCTGCCAATAAATCTTACCTACCTCTCACTGATTTTATGTTTTTTTGGCAAAATATTCCTAAATCAATACCTAATACTGATTTTATGTTTTTTTTTTGTATTTCTCCCGTATTTTTCTTTTTTTTCCAATGATAAGGACAATAAATACGATGATGACTTTTCTAGTAAAAATTTTGAGAGCTGTGAAGATGTGATCGTAATAGATAATACCATCAGTTAACAAATATGCCTTTTTAATAATAATAATAATAATAATAATTAGTAACATTAATAAAATTAAATGATTATTAAATAAACAAAATTTAATGTGACTGATCTGACGCAACCTAAAAATTGCTTCACATTAATTAAAATTTATGACTTAGAATTTAATCCATCTGTCTACATTAAGATAAAAAAATATAAGACAAGCTGCTTGACTGCATTTGTCTATGAATATGTATTTCAATGTCGACCACGAATGTTGGGTTTGTATTTATATATTGTATAGGCGTTACAGAGTTCATGTTGCCTTAGGGAAAAATAATTATTTTTTAATAGTATCTAATAATAATGGTTATATCAAAGTTTATAAATGCTATTAAAGATGATGACAATGGTTATGACGATGATGACGATGGTGATGAGGACGACGACGATGATGATAAGGATGATGATGATCATGAGGATGATGATGATGATTCGTACAATGAAATGAAATATAAATGATACGTGATAGAATATAAAATATTTTTAGCAAAACCCCATAACCAAGCACTCAGCATTTTTCATCACCACAACTCTCGTTTTTCTCTTTCTCTCTCTTTCTCTTTCTTTTTTTTTCTCTCTCTCCTTTTTATACGTTTTAACTATCTCATAAATTTATCGATTTAATTTTTTGAATTCATTTTATTTCAATCACTCACTCTTCCCTATCTGTCTCTTTCTCTCTTTCCTTCTCTTCTTTTCGCCTCAATCTCTCTTTCTCTCTCTCTCTCTTTTATTTTACTTTTTTACTTTCCTTTTTTATAATTTGTAGAACTAATCTTCCCGCCATTTAGTTTGCGGTGCTCTTCACGCACGTAACGCTCGACAGCTACGGAGTTTGGTAGCCACGCCATCACACATGCAATAAAATCGCAAGCGCAAAGACCATGCGTGGTGGGGGGCTGAATAGAAGTGACTCAATTAGGAGTCGATTGTCTCGCGTGTCCGTGCAGAGCTGGCTGAAATATTTTATTTCTAATGGCGTCATCATCCTCTGCTACGCAATTTCAATTTTATACCCAATGATGATGTCATGACATGCATGCATGCATACACAAATTCCGGCAAACGCACACACACACACACACACACACACACACACACACACACACACACAGACACGCACACACATACGTATACACACACACGTACACGTACGTTATACACGCACGAACACACAATCGATCAATTGTTTGAAGCATTAAAAGCTGCCATCATTATTGTTAACCCACTGCATTCAATTAACATGCAGGCCGTCTTTTATCGGACGCTGAAACACGTTGAAAACATGTTGAAATGACATCGCCAGTCCGCTTGCTTTCGCTCTTTCCCCCCCCCCTCTCTCTCTCTCTTCCTTTTTCTTTCTTTTTCCTCCTACTTTCCTCTCTTCCTCATTATTTCTCTGCTTATTTGAGCAAGCACGTCTGCACAACTACCCATCCATCACTTGTACATGCATGCAAGTTGACACTGACATACGCACATACATACGTACAATCACGCACGCGCAAACATACATATACGTACACACAGACAAGAGCATTGTTCTTGCTTGGAAAGTTACATGCCGTAAATTTCAATTCCTTCTTACATTCACAGAACTCTTAACTTTGTGCTCATGTGATTCTATCTTTGAAGATTAAGAATGCTTGTGGGTGGGTGTATGTATGTGCCTGGCTGTTTGTACGTGTAGTTTGGATTGTTTGCCAGTTCCTCTGTGAATATGAAAAAGCTTATTCATGTATTTGCATATGTCACCAGTATTCATTTCAAATATATCTACCTGTTTGTGAAAACGCTTTTTTTGCAATTGTTTCTATGCATGTAATTATATTGTGTTTATTTATATGTACATCTCACTAAAATATTTAAAATATGTTCTCATTTTTACAATTGTCACTGGTAATCATTACAAGAAAACCATATTTTCTTTTCGATTTCCAGATCATTTCTTTTCATTGATATCATTTCTTTGATTTCTTTATTTTGATTTGATGAAATAAAAAATGTCAAATGTCAAATCTCTTTATGTAAACCGCAAGGGATGTGTGTGTGTGTGTGTGTGTGTGTGTGTGTGTGTGTGTGTGTGGTATGCACTATGTACAGGTGTAAATAATTTATGTATGTGCATTTGCATATGCATGGTTGCATTGTTAATTTATCCAGACACATTTCACTACGCTTGTCTGCCCACTATATGCCTCTAATAGATGTATGTGTGTGTGTGTGTGTTTGTGTATGTTTATATGCGTGTGTGTGTAAAATTTGTGTGTCTGTGTATGTGTGTGTTGATATGTTGTATATACACATGCAAAACTGTGTCTATAATTATTGCATATACGATGTTATATGTGGGTCTTTGATTCATTTTGACTGTTGTCAACGACACTCCTCTTAAACACAAGAATGATAATTTAGAAAGACAAATTGGCAATAAAAATAAAAAATGATTTAAATTGATTAAAATACAAATTGAAAATGTTATAAACAATGACGACGATGAGGCCGATTGGGTATTAAACGTTTTCAAAAATTCACCGAAAAACAACATAATTAAAAACATTTGCTTGATGAATATGCATGAGCAACCAACTGTAGCCAGATGACGTCACTGGTGATGTCACTGCGAATGAATATTGAGGATGTATTGTTGTTTTTATATAAAAGTACATGCCTGGATGCATTTGTCTAATCCACTGACATTTATGAATATTAATGACGTTATTATTAGCTTCATTCATTCTTATACATCAACAGATGTCTTGTGGGCAATGTTTGTTAGCCTTAACGTCAAAATAAACAACAACAACAATAACATTTGCAACAACAACAAACGTTTGAACTAAACAACAGAATAACAATGTCATTAATAAAAGTCGATGTTTATTTATATATAAACATTCAAGTCAGGCTCATTTTGTTTCATAATTTCATCATCGTCGTCGTCATAAGTTTTAATTTATCATTTTCCTCCTCATCATCATCAGCAAAAGCATTATCATCATCTTCCTTATCATTGTGGGTGACAGGATGGTGTAATAGTTATGGTGCCTGGCATTGCTGTTGCAGTGCCGGATTCAATTTCAAAGAAATCCCAGCCAATCACATTCACCTCTATTTACAGACACTGTGTGTTTGTTGCTGATGCATGTTTTGAAAAATATTGACTAAATTGCAACAAAAGATTATTGAAATAATGTAACCGCAAATAAACATCAATAGAATCGTAAAAATGTGTAGAAACATCCAACACGTTTGTGAATGAAAATTTAAAAAGAATTTCAAAAATTAAAGTGAAAGTACTCAAACACGGAAAATAAAAACTCACCCTAAGGTAGTCATAGTAACGATGGTGTACCAGAAAGCTTCCGGTATGCTTGTAAAATGTGTCTTTGGTACGCTTTTCTCAGCGTAATACATGACGGTGGCAAAGATGATGATGGCCATGGTGAGTGAGAAGAGGAGGAAGCCGAGCTCGCTGGCACAACTTTTCAACGTGTAACCTAATATACGTAAGCCTGGGAGGATGGTTGGATGGTTGGTTGGTTGGTTGAGGTCGTCATCATTATCATGATCATCATCATCATCAACGGCAACAAAGTAATCATCATTATCATGATCTGTAACATCATCATCTTCATCATCATCAACAACAACAACAGCGTAATCATCATTGTCATAACTCATCCCCATCACCTTGTGAGTGTCTTGAAAATTTGAAGATGCGGAAGACCCTAAATACTCTGAGGGTGACGAAGGCGCCACTGAGGTCCTTGTTGTCGGTAATGCCGAGGCCGATGTAGTAGGGCAGGATGGCTACCACGTCGATAACGCTCATTACGCTTCGCATGTATCGAACGCGTTCCTGTGCGTGTGCGTGTATGCGTGTGCGTGTATGCGTGTGCGTGTATGCGTGTGCGTGTATGCGTGTGTGTACGTGCGTTTGAGTATTCCTGTGGTTGCATGCGTTTATTTGAATGTGTTGTTCTTAAGTCCAAGAAGGAGATATTGTTTTGGTCTCGGTCGAAAGATTTTTTTTCAACATGCACGTGCTTCGTTTATATAATCATACACTCACATCAACGTGCACTCGTCTGTACTACTTTGCATTTTGAAAATATTTTTTGCGGTAGTCATCATTCTCTAGAAACCATTCAATGAAGTAAATGAACAAAAGCACTTGAATTGTAACAACACCATAAAAGCTGAATCAGCAACCCAAACAGTTCTAACAAAGAAGAAGAACATTCAACAACATTGGCTGCATACTTAATAACGATAAACCCAACAAAACTACACAACCACAACAGTCCCAACAACCCCCCTCCCAAACACAACAACTCGCTTGTAGATACGAACAGGTGCGGCATAAAGTCTGAGTAGGTATTCCCCAGTGAAGAGCATGACACAGGCAGTGTCTAGACAGAAAAGTTCCAACTCGTAGACCTCTCCACACGCAGGAGTCCTTCCTGTTTCCGTCCGGTAACACGGGACCGTCTCGATGACGTTGCTGTAACATCACGCCGTGCAAACATTCCGTTGGCGTGCATGTGAATTGGAAGGTGGTTTTTGTGTTGTTGTGCGTTATTAGTGTTGCTGTGTTGTTGTTGTGTGTTGAGTTGCTAGTGTTGTTGTTGTCTGTTGAGTTGTTAGTGTTGCGGTGTTGTCGTTGTTAGTATTACTGTGTGTCGAGTTGATAGTGTTGTTGTCGTTTTCATTATTGTTGATGTGTGTTAAGTTGTTAGTGTTGTTGTTGTTGTTAGTGCTGTTAAGTGTTGAGTTGTAAGTGTTGTTGTCATTGTTATTGGGTTTTTGTGTTTGAGTGAAACTGTTAGTGTTGTTGTTGTTGTGTTGAGTGAAGTTGTCTT